ACACACACACACACACGCACACACACACACACGCACAAGCACGCACACGCACGGCGTTTTATTTTTGGTTGGAATGAGATGTGGTGACTCTAGATGTTGCTTTACCCTTCTGTATTCTGACAGGACAATTTGGCAGACTTCACCTTCATTCTCTGGGAGCTTGTTCTTCAATGCGGCCTTGAAAATAATAATGCACTCCCAACACTATAACTCAAAGCGTTAGGGCAGGGTCCTCTCTCAGATGATTGGAGTTTTCAAGCAAAATCATGCAGAAAACTCTCATGACAGTGGGATATAACAAACACAACGTCCAGCGGTGTGCGGCAGGGAGGCACAGAGCTTCTGGAATACCAACTGGCCAGGGATTTGAAACACAGCTTTTTGAGTCTTTTTGTTTTCTTTACTCGCTAGTGAGTCTGCAAAGTCGGAAATAACAGCAAGTTATAGCTATTGTTGGAAGATAAAACGAAAAAATATCAATCTAAGCCCCGTTTAAATCAGAAAACTGTAGTGGAAGAAAAAAAAGATGGAGCAGGCAAATGAGAAATAACTGGTGGGCATTGTTGGTGTTGATTGCTTGTTCTGGTTTTTCCCTTTTGGCAGACGAGCTTTGGAAGAGCAACTCTACATCCTGAGTGATGAACTTGAAAAACTGAGTTCTGTTGAAAAACTGGAACAGAAGCAACAGTCGGGATACTGATTCTGCAGCCTCTAAGTGTTGGGCAATCTTCTGGCCTCCGCTAAAATCGGCTAGGGGCGGAGGTGCGGTAGGTAGAAACAAAGCTTCCCTTTTCATTTCTCCACAGGACACTTATCTCTCACAGACCTCCCGGGGTCAGACGGGCGGCTGGGCCGGGATCTCCGCTCTGGAGAGACGCTCGCTCCCGGACTCCCGCCCCCACCGCCGCTCCTCCGGCGCAGAACCACGATCCCCACCCCTTCCACGCCCCTGCCCCACCTCTTGTCCCCCTTTGCAACCCCCTCTTCTATGCCTGGTGTGGTTTGTTCCGCGGAGTACAGATAAATAGTCCTGTCAAAAGGCAGAGCCCGCGCGGTCTTGCGTGCGGAGCCCGGATCCTGGCGCCAACTCCTGGGCCCGGCTCTCCCGGGTCAGCAGCGGGGCGCGCACGCTCTCACCGCCCACCTCGCTTTCCGGCCACCGCTCAGCGCTTGCCGGCCCAGGTCCGCGGTTCTCCTTGAGCTCTCCCTGGGCCCCGCCTCCGGCTAGGAGAGGAAGGCAGAGACTGTGAGACTGGCCCTGGAGGAGGAAGGTGGATGCGCGTGGGCGCGGGGGACGAAGAGATGTCCACGGGCTCGGTGAGTGACCCCGAAGAGATGGAGCTGCGGGGACTGCAGCGCGGGTACCCGGTCCCCGCCTCCTCCAAGAGGCAGCCTCTCCGCGGCACCGAGCTCAGCTACGCCTCGCCCAGTGACAACTCGTCGGCGGAGGAGGAGGACCCCGACGGCGAGGAGCGGTGCGCCCTGGGCGCAGCCGGCGACCTAGGAGGCTGCAAGAAGAAGCGGCCCCGTGTGGCTGGGGGCGGCTGCGCAGGTGGTGGGGCAGGCGGCTGTAATAAAAAGCCTCTCTTGCCCAAGGGCTCGGCCGCCGAGTGCAAGCAGTCCCAGCGGAACGCGGCCAACGCCCGCGAGCGCGCCCGGATGCGAGTCTTGAGCAAAGCCTTCTCCAGGCTGAAGACCAGCCTTCCCTGGGTACCTCCCGACACTAAGCTCTCCAAACTGGACACGCTGCGGCTGGCTTCCAGTTACATCGCGCACCTGCGGCAGCTGCTCCAGGAGGACCGCTACGAAAACGGCTACGTACACCCAGTGAACCTGGTAAGGAAACCGCTCCTGGCCCGGGGGACGACAGGCCAGGAGGTGACCAGAGCGCTCCCGGGCGCCGGGGAGGGGCCGCCTGCAAGAAAGTATCCAAAAGGGAGGTCTGTGGGACTAGTAATGGGAAACCCAGTTTAGTTTCTCCCAAATCAAGGGAAGAGGGGCCGACCCATTTCCTGGAAAGGAGTCATCCAGTCTTCTGTGTTCCCCTGATTCTGATCAGTTGTACATGGTATTTCTCCCAGTGACAGCTATTAACTAACATCCTACTTCCGGTATAAATCTTAGTTCCAACTGAGTTTACTACCCCGTTGCAGATTAAATAACAAATCTCCCTCACCCAGCTTTCTCCAAAAAAGAGCCTGGCAGGTTTGAACCAGCAAGCCTTACTTTCTTTAAAGAAGGAGGGAAAATTGAGCTCTGTAAAAGAGCTTTTGGATTTTTTAATGGGTGTGAGTAGCAGTTTCCATAGACCAGATTGTCAGGAAAGTCCCTCTCTGACCTGCCAGCTCTCCAGGATGGGAAAGAAAGATCACATCCCAGCCATAGAAGTTGCTACTTGGACTGTCTCCCCCCCCTCCCTCTCTCTACCTCTCTCCCTCTCAATCTCTCTCCCTCTCTCTCCCTCCTTCCCTCTCTCTCTCTCTTTCCTTCCCTCTCTCTCTCTCTGCCTCCCCAGTCTTGTGTTTGTGATTAAACAAAGGACAAAATCCCAAACTCAAAGTTTCACCGAATCATCTCGTGCACCAGACCAGAAGGGACTGTGAATGGATATCGAATGTCTGCCATAATCAATATCCAGTAAGAGATCACAGCCTCAGATTAGAGAAAAGATACACAGATTTCTAGAATGCCGATGAAAGCTGATTTCTGGAGTTCACCTAAGAGAGTGGTTTCTGTTTGAGATGGTGATTTCTCAGCAGTGCCTGACACTCTTTTTTATTTTACAGACATGGCCATTCGTGGTCTCTGGACGACCGGACTCTGATACCAAAGACGTTTCTGCAGCAAACAGATTATGTGGAACCACTGCTTAGATAGGATTCGGACTCACTTGATGGGATTATTAAACTGAAGCATTGAGGGCCTGCCAAGGAGAGAGTGAACACCAAGGATGGGCAGAAAGTTTCCCTGGATTCTCCTGGGCCCTTTCCCTTCCCTGGAACTTCAAACTGGACAATGGAGGTGCAGAGGGTCTGGGCCACGATGCCAGGAAGAGCCTCCATTTGTGTGGAGAGCAAGCGAACCCAGATTCCACCTGGATCTTCAGCGCTGTACCCCGGGCTGCCACCTGAGCCCAGGGCTACACCACCTGACCCTAGGGTTAGGGTTAGTTTCCAGCGGAGTCAGATTTATCATTTATGTCGGAGCAGATTTCCACACAGCCCAGGCCTCATGCCCCTTAGAAAATAGGACTCTCTACCAGTCCTCTTAAAAGACAGCGCCTTGGTGTGAGGTCCACTTTGGGGCATGTTTTAAGTTACAAAGAAAGGAAAATGGAATATCTGGGCCAGTTTTCTAGCCTGCCAGGCAGCACTCTCCAAACTGACTATTCCACGGGCGGGCAAGGTGGAGGCCTAGTTCAGAGACCAGCCCAGGCTGGGTTTGCCTTCCTTAGGCTCTCTTGCTGAGTCTGACTGGCCACTCTCTTCAAGCTGGGGTCTTCTTTCCTAGCTCCCTCCTTTCTCTCATCACCCTTTCCCCTTCTAGGCTCCAGCCTCCCCACTCCCGAGGTCCTAACTGCAGTGGCTCCTCTCCTGGGGCCCTCCCTGTCTGCTCAGGCTGCTAACTGCAGTTCCCTCTCCGGAATTCCAAAGAGTTCCTCAACAGGCTTTGCCCCTCCAAGGCAATCATCCCTTCCCCTACACAGTCTTAGGTATTCACTTTCTTTCAGGCATTCAAGTTCTTCTCCTGGAAGGCCAGCTCACCACAGGCAGCTGGAGCTGTGTGACCTTAGTTACAGTGCTTCTGGGCAACACACTGCTGAGGCTGCACTTCCACAGTAATTAACATATGTAAATAAATTTATTTTTTTATGAACAATAAAACTTGTTGTGAAGACTGTATCCCCTTGGGGGCATCAGAATGTGGTCTTTGCTGCCCTTTACTGAGAGTGTTTGGTCTCAAAGTTAATTTTAAAGGGGCAGGACAAGCATTTGAGACAGGGCATTTGGACAGGACATTTGGATCATTGTTTCTGGGACAGTCATATTCACATTTCCAAATGTCACTCTTATTAATCTCTATTTCTGATTCTCCTCGACATGATAGGAATTCTGGGAAAGTGAGAACTGGAGATCTAATAAAACCCCCAAGAGGTTTTTGAGACCCAGACTGCCTCGAGAGGCTATCAGCTTTATGACTGTATGCCTCTCAGGTGCACATCACACACACACACACACACTAAATGCCTTTCTCAGCCTAAAGCACACTCCAGTGTTTACAATTAAAACAGGTTCAAGAACCCCTTCATTCCACCCACCAGATTCTACCAGGTCCTAAGTCTAACAGGAAGAAAAATATGTAAGAAGACAATTTGTATTTCAGCAGAAATCTTTTTTTCAAAACTATTTGGCTGTTTTAGGGCCAGGGATTTGACTCAGTGGTACCACCGCCTGCCTCAAAAGCACAGGGTCCCGAATTCTATCCCCAGTACCAAAACTATTTGGCCTTTTTAACATACACTACCTAATTTTCTATGTTATTTTTTAAATTTTCACTGCAATAACTTGGAAAACTCCATAATAATTTTTAAAAGCTGGTCCTTTTTAAAAGCAACCCTTTTATACAACATTTAGAAAACAGTTAAGGGGGCTGGGATTTAGCTCAGTGGTTTCGCCACCTGCTGTGCAAGCACAAGTACAGGTACCAAAAAAAGAAAACAGTGAAGGATAAAACTGCTCAAACAATGGCCCAATTTGGGATTCTGCCTGCTAATTTATAAAGTCAAAAAGCAGTTTTCTTGACCAGAGAGAGAAAATGCACCTGGATTTTAGGAGGTGAGAGAGAGGTATCCAGTGTGACTTCCTGTTTTGAATTAAATAGAATCAGGGCTGGGGATTTCGCGCAGTGGTTTCGCTACCTGCTGTGCAAGTGCAAAGACCCGAGTTCAATTCCTGGTACCAAAAAAACAAAAAAATAAAAAAACCAAAAAAAAAATAAACAGAATAAAATCTCTGGAGAGCTGACTTCAGACATCATTTTTTTGAGCTTTTGTTTAGAACTCAGTCAGGATCTGGCCCTAGGGTCCATTCTTCAGTTACCAGATACGCAGCTGGGAGTGGAAGATGGGAATTACACTGGACCTTGTAGCACCAGGGGCCTTCGGCAAAAGGGAGCCGGAAGAACTGAAACTAGTGGTAGGAAACCCTTGTGTGGTCAAAAGCACTTCAACTTTTGAGTTCTGAATGTCCAGCTTCTTGAGGGTGGGGTGACTACTGAAGGCCAGACCTTAGTCGAGGTCATTTCCAAATCTTTGAGCAAATTAGGTCTGTTGACTAAAGAAAACAAGAATGTCTAAAGAACCCATCTTGAAACCCAAGCTATGCTACCCTACAGGGCAAGTTAGTTAACACCCCCTCTCTGCCTCAGTTTTCTCATCTACTGTGGGCCAATAACAGTGCCTACCTGGAAGATTGCCTCAGGAATGAATACCATATTGTAGTGATGATGATTCTTTTAGAGTTTTCCGTGATATAAACAGTCCACTGTGGCACATATGCTGAAGGTTTACCACCACTGCATAGTGTATTCAAGCCAGTCTTCTAACATTCTGTGAGCAGTGCACTTGATACTGGCTACTAAAGGATGTCCAGAGGCATCCAGAGGAAACAGGCAAAGCAGGATGCTTTCAGGAGTCCAGATTTTAAGACTGGGTCCAAAGCTGGGCACAGTGGCACATGCCTTAATCCCAGCTACTTGGGAGGCTGAAGCTGAAAGTTTGAGGTCAGCCTGAGCAACATAGTTTTAAAAACAAACAAAAAACTGGGTCCAGTTTCAAGATCACAGGATCCCACTGTAAAAAACTAAAAAGTGTCTCACAAGGGCAGATGAACAGAAAAACAGAGATAGAAAAACTGGAAAGAACAGTTACGTTTATAGTAAATAGAAATGAGAACAAGTATTGGAGTAAACAAGAAAATATCGGGGCGCAAATATTCATAAGTAAAGAAATGAGATTTAAAATATTTTTTTATAATCATATTCCCTTAGGCATTTCAGGAGCAAAGGCACAGATTTTTCCCTCTACTTCTCTCCAGGTCTAATTCACAGACCCCCTTGTGCACAAAGTGCTGGTATTGTGCCCTGTAAGCTTATTTTTATGGCCACTTTATAAATATATTATTTTTCTTTTCCAACAAAGAAGAAAATATATTTTCTCAAAAATTCTCTGCTCTATGATTTCCATAAAAAGTTTAGTCCCAAGACTTACATTATTTTTTTTTAAGAAAGAGAGAAAATGGCCAATTTCTAGTAATTCTGAAGCAATGGATATAAATTGGTAGGGCTTTTGGGCAGAGGTTGCTATTGGGAGAGGCCTAAGCATCTTAAAGTGGCCTTTTCTGAGTCTGGCATGACTGTGGTGTGCTCTGGGAGCACCCTGAACCATTGGAAAGCCCTCCTCGATTTTTCTTCTCATCATTTTTTCCTAGGAATTTGAGTTGGAAAAATGAGATCTGAGTCTGGGAACTGGGCAAAAATGTGGCAGGGGTTGAGAAGGAGAAGTAAGTACATGCAGAGTTCCATCGTTCTGATTGTACTGCTGTGAGAAGATATGGCACAAAGAAAGTCTGAGGATGTAGAAAAGCACTGAATAACAAACAAAATGAGTAAACTGAAAAATACTCTTCAGGGGGCTTTCTGAGGGACTAAAGCATCATTATTAGTGATTCTGACTCAACCAAAGAGCACAAAAAATCCCCTTCCACAGACACTTCCTAAGATGAATATTTTCAAAAGAAATGTTTTTGGCCCTGTAATTTTGAAACACTTAGGCGTTTCTCTTGGTTGTGGGTGCTGAATTGATTGTGTGCATATTCTTTTGCACTGACCTTCAAGTCCCATCTCACTTTAGTCTGGTGACTCCTTCAACAGATGGTGACAACGACGCCTTCAGTTTACAAAGACATTTTCACAGGCACTGTTTTATTCTCCTGTTAATAAATGCTTCAAAAATGAAAAACTGATAAAGACATTTCCTGCCTATAAAAAAGAAACAGCCAATAGGAACACATTTTATTCTAATAGTCTGTAGTAGATATTTTAATTATACTTTAGGAAATATTAAAAATTACAATAATTCAGGAAGTTATTTTACTCACGGTTGAAAAGGCCAAACTAGGTGAATCCATAATCAACGTCTCACTGTTAAGTATCTTGTGGGAAAAGTCCCTAGAAGCCACAGGAATGGCTCCCTTTGGCTCTGAGCACCTGCCTGCATCTCCTATTGGTGAGAACTTTGCATCTCCAACCACTGAAGGGCAGCCAAGGGATTTACATCTTTTCACAAACCTCTCACCATCTAAACTCTATCGCTGTTCTGTTTGATTTTTGTATGGTTTGTCTTCTCTCTCCCACAACAGTGAAAATTGATCCACAGAAATTCTCTGAACCCATGACTCTAAGAAGGTCTAGAAAGTTGCTAGAGAAAGAAATCTATGTGTGATAGTGTACACATGATTAGCACTTAGTTGTCCATTGTCTCAACGCATCTCTCCTTCTCCTTTGTTGGTTGTGATTTGGATCCAAGATTTGGATCACCAGCTCTCGGGCCATGAAAAGCTTCAAAGCAGGAGCTCTTCTCTGGTGAAAATAAAAGATCTGTATTGACTTCTACTAATCCATCCCAGTGGAAGGGGAGAAGAGTGAGGAACAAGGAGCGAGAGGCTTTTACCTTTTATACTTTTTTTGTTTGACTTAAAAATTGTATATTATTTTCAGAATTTTAAAAACTCATTTTAAAGAAAAGATCACAAGTTGCCATGTCAGAAGTACCTTGTTCCTGTCTTATATTTCCTAGTTCTGTGCCCTCAAGCGCCTGACCTCTCTTGTGAGACAGAAATAATCCTGCTTCACTGACCATCCTGAGAGTGCAGTTGAATGAGAGCCTCTTATTGAACACTTGGCCATGGGTCCATAAATGATAATTTTAAAAACCTGAAGTCTTGATTCTCTTTCCTTTCTTTTTACAGTAGTTTAGGTGTTCTTGATCCTCATTTGCAAATTCCCCCCCACCCCCCACCCGTTCCTTGTTGCTACTTGTATCACCTTGCTCTTTTATGCCACACCTACTTTTCTAGTAATGACCTTTATTTTTTGCCACTAAGGAGAAAAGTTTCTCTGACATCTGGGCATGGGGTGGAGGTAGGTCTATTAAATGATGGGCTATTTGACTGCCAGAAATGATCCCCAGTGGATCCCTGGTATCCATGCTCTGGTTTAGGGCTTGTCCTGGTACTCACTTTTACCAATGGTAGGGTGATGGAAGTGACTGCCCATTCTGCACCTATGCCTTGGAGACTAGCTACTTCTGGCTTTGTTAATGTCCAGGCATGTTCCCAAAGAGACAGCACAGTGAAGTCCATGACACAGAGGCCCTGAGAATGCCTGGGAGAGAACTGAGGACTTTAGCTGGCAGTGAAGACTGTGGTCCCAGTCATAGGAACTCAGTGGTGCCCCTCTAGCCAGATCTGGAGTCATCTTAGTGGTGCATGAAGAAGTCATGGAGGACAGAGAGCAGAGATGAGATGTCTCCTCAAAGCCCTAATTCCTGCCCCACAGAATCATGAGAGATTGTAATATAGTTGTTAATTTAAGCCACAAAATTTGGCCAAATTTGTTACTCAACAATTGTTAACCAAAACATATTGCCAAGTCAATTTTCACATCAGCCATGTGTTCAAGAATAAATAAATGATTTGTTCATCATCATCTGCTGTGAGCCAGGACCTTGACGTATAGACCAAAGTGAACAAGCCAGTTGCCTCTTCTCAAGGTTGTGAGGGGAAGTGGACAAATGGACCGTTATTGAAGTAGTGTGCCAAGTACTACGAGAGAAGGTGGCACCCTGGGAGAAAGGGCACAAGACCGAGCCTTGAATAGTCATGG